GGGGGACGGGTCCTGACTGTCGTTTGTGCCTATGCGCCTAGCGGCAGCACAGAGTACCCACCCTTTTTGGAGTCCTTAGAGGGGGTACTGGAGGGTGCCCCCTCTGGGGACTCCCTCGTTTTGCTGGGGGACTTCAACGCTCACGTGGGCAACGACAGTGAGACCTGGAGGGGCGTGGTTGGGAGGAATGGCCCCCCCAGCTTGAACCCGAGCGGTGTTCTGTTTTTGGACTTCTGTGCTCGGCGCGGATTGTCCATAACGAACACCATGTTCAAACATAAGAGTGTCCATATGTGCACCTGGCACCAGGACACTCTAGGCCGCAGTTCAATGATCGACTTCATTGTCGTTTCAGCTGATCTGCGGCCGCATGTTTTGGACACTCGGGTCAAGAGGGGGGCGGAGCTTTCCACCGACCACTACCTGGTGGTGAGTTGGCTCCGATGGTGGGGGAGGATGCCGGTGAGACCCGGGAGGCCCAAACGTGTTGTGAGGGTCTGCTGGGAGCGCCTGGCGGAGTCCCCTGTTAGGCGGAGCTTTAACTCCCACCTCCGGGAGAGCTTCGAACACGTTCCGGGGGAGGCGGGGGACATTGAGTCCGAGTGGGCCGTGTTCCGTGCCTCCATCGATGACGCGGCCTCCCGGAGCTGCGGTCGCAGGGCTGTCGGTGCCTGTCGTGGCGGCAACCCTCGAACCCGCTGGTGGACACCGGCGGTGAGGGATGCCGTCAGGCTGAAGAAGGAGTCCTATCGGGCCTTTTTGGCCTGTGGGACTCCGGAGGCAGCCGATGGGTACCGGCAGTCCAAGCGACGTGCGGCTCGGGTGGTCGCCGAGGCAAAAACCCGGGCGTGGGAGGAGTTTGGGGAGGCCATGGAAAAAGACTTCCGTACGGCCTCGAGGCGATTCTGGTCCACCATCCGGCGTCTCAGGGGGGGGAAGCAGTGCCCCACCAACACTGTTTACAGTGGGGATGGGGTGCTGTTGACCTCAACACGTGACGTTGTGGGTCGGTGGGCGGAGTACTTCGAGGACCTCCTCAATCCCACTGGCGCGTCCTCCGTTGGAGGGGCAGAGCCTGGGGATCCGGAGTTTGGATCTCTAATCTCCGGGGCTGAAGTCACCGAGGTAGTCAAAAAGCTCCGCGGTGGCAGGGCCCCGGGGGTGGATGAGATTCGGCCGGAGTTCCTCAAGGCTTTGGATGTTGTGGGGCTGCGTTGGCTAACGAGACTCTGCAACATCGCGTGGACATCAGGGGCAGTCCCGCTGGATTGGCAGACTGGGGTGGTGGTCCCCCTATTTAAAAAGGGGGACCGAAGGGTGTGTTCCAACTATAGGGGGATCACACTCTTAAGCCTCCCTGGGAAGGTCTATTCAGCGGTTCTGGAGAGGAGGGTCCGTCGGATAGTCGAGCCTCGGATCGAGGAGGAGCAGGGTGGTTTTCGTCCTGGCCGTGGAACGCTGGACCAGCTCTATACCCTCAGCGGGGTCCTAGAGGGTGCATGGGAGTTCGCTCAACCAGTCCACATGTGTTTTGTGGACTTGGAGAAGGCGTTCGACCGTGTCCCTCGGGGTATCCTGTGGGGGGTGCTCCGGGAGTATGGGGTACCTGGCCCTTTGTTACGGGCTGTTCGGTCCCTGTACGACCGGAGTCAGAGTCTGGTTCGCATTGCCGGTTGTAAGTCGGACTCGTTTCCGGTGGGAGTTGGACTCCGCCAAGGTTGCCCTATGTCTCCGGTCCTGTTCATAACTTTTATGGACAGGATTTCTAGGCGCAGCCGAGGTGTTGAGGGTGTCAGTCTTGGTGGCCTTAGGGTCGCATCTCTGCTTTTTGCAGATGATGTGGTCCTGTTGGCTCCATCAAGTCGGGACCTACAGCTCTCACTGGAGCGGTTCGCAGCCGAGTGCGAAGCGGCTGGGATGAGGATCAGTGCCTCCAAGTCCGAGACCATGGTCTCTCACCGGAAAAGGGTAGAGTGCCTTCTCCGGGTCGGAGCGGACGTCCTTCCCCAAGTGGAGGAGTTCAAGTACCTCGGGGTCTTGTTCGCGAACGGGGGTAGGGAGCGTGAGATCGATAGGCGGATCGGTGCGGCGTCTGCAGTAATGCGGGCGCTGTACCGGTCTGTCGTGATGAAGAGAGAGCTGAGCCTAAAGGCGAAGCTCTCAATTTATCGGTCGATCTACGTTCCCACCCTCGTCTATGGTCACGAGCTTTGGGTAGTGACCGAAAGAACGAGATCGCGGATACAAGCGGCCGAAATGAGTTTCCTCCGCAGGGTGGCTGGGCTCTCCCTTAGAGATAGGGTGAGAAGCTCGGCCATCCGGGAGGGGCTCAGAGTAGAGCCGCTGCTCCTCCACGTGGAGAGGAGCCAGTTGAGGTGGCTCGGGCATCTGTTCAGGATGCCTCCTGGTCGCCTCCCTGGGGAGGTGTTCCGGGCTCGTCCCACCGGGAGAAGGCCCAGAGGAAGACCCAGGACCCGCTGGAGGGACTATGTGTCCCGGCTGGCCTGGGAACGCCTCGGGATCCCCCCGGAGGAGCTGGCCGAAGTGGCCGGGGAGAGGGAAGTCTGGGTTTCCCTGCTCCGGCTGCTGCCCCCGCGACCCGACCCCGGATAAGCGGAGGACAATGGATGGATGGATGGACATTTATGGCCTTAATTTTGAAGTGGCTTCTGCTTGTTACTGCTGGCCAGTGACTCACTCTTGGCTTACTGTGCTCACAGTCTGTCCTTTTACAGTTAAACGACAACATAATTGTGCTGGCAAGCTCTTCAGGAAGTGTGGATAAAGGTGAATGCTGCCGTGTGAAAAGGTTTAATGGGAAAAATCTGTCCCACAGGACAGCGGGTTCATTGGATCTCCCTCAGAAGTTTAACACAGACAGAGCAGCACAGACTGACACTTACCCCATATCCCCATAAATATGGCGAAGAACACTGTCCCCTCATTGTCAAACAGATGGGATTGCTGGAAGAGAGAACATGGAAATTGGTAACTTCCAGGGAGAGGCTGGAGGAGGGGGCATGCTGGGCATAAACAGGGTGACATACTGGTTACTCAGCAGGCTGAAATTGATCTCCTGATCCCAAAAGAGTTTTATGTCATAAGATAAATAATGCAGTCTTGTTTGCAGATCTATATCATTATACATACACAAGGCCAAAGAGTTGAAATTTAAAAAGACAATGCCATGATTTGCAATGAATTTGAGCCACTGTTTTAATGAAAATGAGTCAAATGTTGGATTTAATGCCACTTTCTGTTTATATTTAGGGTTTAACAACTATCAAATACATTCTCTTTTTATTTATCTTTAAAACAGAATCGGGACTTTTCGTATTGGATTTAAACTGAAATGTATGTGTGCACCGCATGCAAACGTGTGTTAGTTCTGGCTTTGACTATGTGCTTTAGTAAGACAAAGTAAAATAATTACCCAGGATGAGAGGCAAGTGGAGTTGAGCTTCCAAAAAGGGCACTTTTTATCACAAAGAGGACACATCACAATGCTCCCTCCAACCTCAGCATCGCATATTTCTTTGCTAAAGAGAGAAACGTGGCTGTGTTCATGCAAAGCACCTTGGAAAATCTAATACACAATGAACAGGCCACCATTCATGTTGATGTGGCTACCATACGCTTTTCCTGTTTAAAAAAGACTTTACACTCGTGCATAGAGTTGTACAGTATATTGAAATAGTTTATTTTTTTGTTTTATGTTGAGCGGCTAGACAGCTAAATCTTGATATTAAACACTTAAATATCTTTCAGATGGAGAGAAATTTACAGTAATGTGAGCTGGTCTTATCTCCACTGCAATGCCTGACACTCCTATTGGAAAGTTTAAATGCTAAAATCTGCTGTTTAACATAACTGCAGCTTGAATTTTACCCTCCCTGTAAATTAGTTAATTTGTGGCACTGATAATACCACATTACGCTGACAGATGTTACCCTTATTTACATCGAATAAACGGTATTGACAAATCAATGCTCATACTTGGTCCACAAAACAAAGCAAAGGGTTCATGAGGAATCTTTCTACATCACGTGGTTTCATAACTTTGAGAGCTCCAGAATGATTCCTGGTGGCACTAACCTTGATACGTTGTCATCGTAACTGAGCACTCCATAAGTAAAACATATGAAGCCCATGACAGCTGCGAAGAAGAGCATCTCTGTGTAGAAGCCCAGCCAGGCAAAATAGATCCCAATCTTCTCCCCATAATACTTCCTTCAACAACAAAAGATAAATCAAAATTAGTTATTAAAGTCAGAATTGCTATATAAAATAAATAAATAAATAAAATAAAGACAAATATGTGCAGAAACTGCAGACACATGCATTTAGACTTGACCTGATAAGGTTCAGAGGCTGCTCCTTGTAGAAACAGAGGAATCTGGCCCAGTGATGGTACAGGTTGTAGCGCTCACTCTCACACTCGGCGTTTCTTGCTCGTTTCCAGTAGCGGCACTGTTAGCAAAAGACCCCCGTTTATAAACTCGTGTAATAGTATGTTAAATAAAAGAGTGGTTGATCAAGGTTGTTCTTATTGTTTTCCCCTAACTAAGCTGCAACCAAAACACATGTTGAAAATATGTTTATTTTATCATGTTATACACCCAAACAAATTATCTTAGAAAAGAGAGTCTTTTAATAGCCCCACACTTGCAAGAGCAATAAAGAACAGAATGGCTGCTTTTATAAGCACAAATGTATTAGTTTTGGTAGAGTAGTAAAGAAAACTCATTCAACAGAGGTGCTTGTTGATTAAAAAAAATAAAAACACGATTTCTAGAACACATTAAAGGATGATCAAACTGATTGGGCTACTTAAAAACGCACATAAAATAAAACACACATCATGTAGAATGAGTCCTAAAGTGTAAAAGGGTGCAGATCAGAGTAGCTGCTGGACATAGATGTGGAAGGAAAATGTCTGAAAGAATGCACAGTCAGCACATCGAACTGCTGCTCTCTTTGAAAGATGTATCTTACGTCATGAAGTGGAAAAGCTGCTGTGTATGTCCCATTGCTGAGTAACCGCTTGATTCCTGTCTTGTCTTTATCTTTACGGCCCTCATTGTAGTATGGACAACGCGCCAGGATGTAAAACACCTAACGGCAACAAAAGGATTTATTAAAGCATTTTCATTTGCTCCAGTATTGCTGAAGTGAAAACCATGAAACACACAAACAACTCAAATATCACATTGACAACTGTGTTATCCTGAGGGAGCATCCTCTTTTCTTAGGAATAACAACAAAACGAATCACTTACAATTCTGTTCCTGTTGGATGGTGGGAAGAACGTGTCTTTGTCATTGATGAGGAAGAAGTCAGTCTTGGTCTTGTCAAAGTGGTAGGTGAAATAGTCAGGTTGTGGGTGCATAATGTGGTCTGGCAGGCGAAAGGGCCAGGAGAGCCACTCCAATGGGACATCCTGACTATGGGGAATGTCGCTCTCTTTGAAGGGAACTTTGATCTTTAAGACATCAGCGTAGGTGGCCAATACATCCCAAGGAGCGTGGATCTTCAAGAAATATGTCTTCTGGTCTTTGGCATCCTGAGGGAAGAAATGTAAAAGAAAAATATTAGAGTTAGACTCTGTAACTACAGTTTCCACAACATGTCAGACATGGAGCCATCCCTTTAAGGCCATTTGGTGAAGAATGAATGTGCCTCTGCAAACTCTCCACTAGATGGCACATCTGCTCCGTGTTTGCTTCCCTACCGATTTGTCCTCTGTCTCCAGCTCCAGACCGATTTTCTCAAGGTTGGCCTCAAATTCCCTCCTCCTTTCCTGTGGACAAACACACAGACCACAAAGTCTTAGATTACCCCCTCTGATTTGGACAGGGCTCATGTTTGACAGCTTTCTCCGTTCATTCTGAGGGTTGACTCAGAGTCAACCCTTAAATTTTCATGTGCAGAAGGCTAAGACTTGGAAAAGGCCAAACAGGGACATCAAGTGGGTGTGTGAATAGGTAGCGCCTCTGATCAGAGAAGGATGGCAACATTATAGCCATGTACAAACTTTAAAATGCTGAGTAGACCAGCACTGAAACAGGTCTTTGCTTAAACTAGCAAACAACATCCCATTTCAGTCTGTGATATCAAAACTTGCTCACGGGAGTGCTGCTTTCAAAAGAAAGCAGGAGTAAAGGACAAATGGCTCTGCATCAGAAATTAATGTGGCCTGATGAAGAATTTGGCACCTTTGGTAAATAGGTTGAAATGTGAGTCTGCGTTTGAAACACTTTCGTCCAGGAAAGTTTACAGAAACAAGTCACAAGTCTTTTTTAAGCAACGCTGTTTCCAAATTTGAATGCAATCATAAAAATGTGCACATTCACCACGCAACAGTGAAATTTCCAACACCTATTGCACGCATTTCTTTGGCCACTTGGGGGTAGTAGAAACAAACTATGAATACAACAAAGCACTAAAGAAAAACTCTTTTTTCCTCTTTTACCTCATGCTGCTACGTTTTAAACACTATAAATAGTTGAATACTTGCTCATAATGATTCATTGTGGTTTGTAGTTTTCTAAGAACAGTCACAAACTACCATTTTATTTGAGCGATCGAAAAATATCCACTCGTAAGTCCTCTAAAAGACACTCAACAGCAGTGTCCATGGCCCAACAGTTCCTGTCTGAAAAATAATCCCATAAAACAGCTACTGAGATGCAGGTTGGCGAGAGTGGATACTATGTGACCAGACTTCCATATCAACCGGAATGCTAAATGAGTAGCAAGCTGTTCTGTGACTGTTATAAAGGAAAAATCATGGTTACACAGAATGAAACCTCTTACTTGCTTCAGTTTTCCACACTTGAGCACTTGAGCAGTGATCATGTGATTTATAGTCTACTTCTCATTTTTAATGGCATATGCTAATCTGGAGAGTCCTACAGTTGCTTCCCATCACAAATGTCAAAGGTCTTTAAAAAATGTTCTGAAACTGTCTTTCTCTTTGTCATACCATTGTGCCTACTACCCCCCCCCCCCCCCATCCTGTCTGGAAACAGATTGTGTAATAATGCCAGATGCATCACAATGAGTCACTTGCGGCCTTGTAAAATTCTGTGTGATCAAGAAAATAACTTACAACTTGTCAGATTTCAGCAAGCCTTACCTGTTTCTTCTCATCTTTATCATCTACGTAAGACAACACAAAGTCTATTCTGCGCACTCCATCCCTGAAGAACACCGTGTCTCTGTTTGGTTGCAGCTTCTCCGTCTAAGTGAGACACAAATCACAGCTTTTTCATCACATCACAAAGCAAAAAAAAGAACACAAACCAGGCAGCCTCACATAGCTTTTGCATAAAATACTGAAAGCAAAAAACTCATACAAGCAGACCTTAAGTATCAGACAAAGCATGTAAAGACTCATGGAAGTGCTGCATGTGCAGGAAAGGGAAATGGAACAGTGACACTAAAGACATCCATCTGACATCCACATGTTGGGATGGAACTAAAAAGCAGTTAAAGAGAAACTCAGTTTGTCAAAACATTTAATGATGACTGTGGAAAACCACAGATATCAGGAACGTCTGGACTCTGGACAATAGCAGCCTGTCATTATGCATAAAGTCCTGGAGGGGAAACAGTTTCAAATCATATTCTATAGATCATTTATATGTTTATGTTCAATGCTTTCTATCCCTGACACTTAACCACAGTACTTAAAATACATAAATGCTGTAACTGCAAGTTGTTTCACTTTAATTCTTTAATATTTGCATGTTTTCAAACAAGAGAACTTAATTGCATGAATGTATGTGACCTGATTTTAATGTTATATAGTGGTGGGTTATATAGTGCTCAACATTGGATATGGTTTATTTAACAATAATAGAAACAGTTTAAAGATGACAGCTGCTATAGGCTGTAGACCCCCCCCCCCACCGAGACCAATTAGGAATAAACAGTATAGAAAATGAAAGAATTTTAAAGACATTAGTCAAAACAATGCATTATTTTCCCAAACTTGATATAATTATCACACTGCCGCAGTGTTTGAAGTGCCTCTTCAGACCTGATGTGCACCATTAAAAACATTGTTTATCAGTGAATATGAAAAAAAGGCTCATCATAATTGTTATTCTTCTCGTGAGAGACCCAGCATAAGGTTTTGCCACTTGATCTCTGAGTGGTGATGGCTCCTGACATTATTCAAGAGGTGCTTCTTGATAACAGTGGCTGAAATCCCACTTGGTTTGTTGCACTACTGTTCACAGGCTTAACGATAACATGGAGAACAGAGGACGTTCAGCAGTTTTCTGACCTCCACCCAACTCGTTTATCACACCCAAACATCCTCAACCAGATCCTCTTAGCTTGGGCGTGAACTCTGCACGTTATAGGTTAATATGTGGAAATGAAATTTCCCTCTGATAAAACTGAAAGCTGAACTCGTCTGACACTAATTCTATCCTTGATGATTAAACCGGAAAAAAACGCTCCACTGAAACACTTTGTATAAAGCTGCTAACCAAACAGACAGTAAACATTTGTTTGAGAAGCAACATTTTATTTCTGTCGCACTCTTTAAGTTATGAGAGGAACTCTTTGAGAGTCAGCAGTCTTGTGACTCAACAACTGGAACAGAGAGACAATAAAAGGCCAGTTTATACCACAAACACAGTAAACATAGATTCTCTTTCAAAAAAGAGTCCTATACTGTCAATAAGAGTGTTGCATAGCATCAAGTTGTCTTAAAAACTGGAAAAGTTGCGGGAACAGCTTCATATATTCTTGTGTGTCCCTGCATCCAGACAAAAATGTTTAAACACTGCTTTTGTAGTGAATAAAACAGCAGCTTCATATCTTATGTACAAGCATAAAAACAGTGTTTACTCAGTGAGATACTGCAAAACTTACCTCTGTGTTTCCAGGCAGAGGCGCTCTATCCGATAATGAACTGACACCATTTCCACTGCTTTCATCTGCATCTGAGATATGGAGAAGTGGAAGGTTAATTCTTGGGCAGCACGGTGGTGTGGTGGTTTGCACTGACGCCTCACAGCAAAAGGGTTACTGGTTAAAATCCTTGGGGATTTGACCAGGGGCCTTTCTGTGTAGAGTTTGCGTGTTCTGCCTGTGTCTGTGTGGGCTGATTGCATGTTAGGTTAACTGAACACTCTCAAACGTGGACATTTTGACACAGGAGGACACTTAGAAGTGAATTGTCAACTTTCCGTTTGAAGGACAACCACTTCAGGGCCGCCCTCTTGCTCAGAAGACGGCGGCTTCTAAAAAACTTCTGGACTGGAATTCAATGCAGTAACAATGCTTACATTGTTTCAACTCTCACATTTCTACTTTTTTTTGGTCATGAGGCATTTCCTTTTAGATCTATATCATTTGTTCAAGAATTGAATTATCTCCCCTTTTGAATATAACATTTTAGATTTACTGAAGAATGGAATAATCATCATCATTATTATTGTTATTATAGGGCTGAACAACAATTCCAGAAAGATGTTCACTGTTTGCAACCAAATGCTGTTATCTTCTGGCAGTTATTGTGCATGTCTCTGATTAGGAATGCTTTTTCAGCTAATTTTAGATATGACTGGGGTCAACAAGTGGACCCCCCCTCATGTTTAGGTTGGACTTGCTGTGTTATCAGCTCAGACATTGACTCTGAAGGCGGGTGGCTTCACAATCATTTGCTCAGTAGTGTAGCAGGTCCGACTGAATTAGGTGCGGTGTAGAATTCTGTATACATTTCGATTGTCTAAATCATGCACAGAAAACATTTTGAGAAAATACATTGAAATGGAAACATTGTACATTTTATCAGTCTGTTACACTTTCCTGTTTACATACACCCACACCCAATGAGAGTAGACAATACTTCCAGGACAAAAGACATGATGTCATTCAGCTACACCACAGGAAGCTCAATTTAAATCCATGATGAATATGTGAATAACAGTGTATCTATTTAAGATTCCTCATTCAGCCAGAAACCATAATGACCAGGATAAAAACAATTTAACAAGAGCCCATGTTTCATCCCTCTGTCTCTTAGTAGCATTAGATGATGCAGGCTCTTGCCAAATTTTACCATATTGATAAGCACTGAGTGAAATCTGAGAGGGAAATGAGCACCAGAAAGGTAGGAGTACACACTTTTATGCCCAACATTCCAGCAGCATTCCCTCTCCCTGCTTGGCAGACTTTGGCGGAGGGAATGTGCTCATGTAGCACTGATTCGCTCTCAGCCAGCTTCCCCATTATTCCTGAATGGTGGGAAAGCAGCACTTCCTGTGGGGGAGGCTGCATGCGGACTTTGGAGAGGGGGGAGGAGCTAGAGGCTGGGGTCGCTGCGGCTCCACGAGTCCAGCCTCCTCCTCCTGTAAAGAAACACACTCGCTCCAATAAGACCACAAAGGTCTCCGGTTTGCTGTCCAGCCGTACAGGAGGCCGACTAGCATGAGAAATTATCTCCTGACTAGCAGCAGGCTAAGCCAAGAGAGACAGGAGGAGGAGGAGGGGGAGGTCTCCATGAGCAGACTCATTCTTACTGTACTCCAGAAGTCTCAGTAGAAAGGCACGAAAATAAGCCATGTCATTACAATGAAGGAGTCCCTGAAGTACACAAAAGCCATACGACTGATTCGTTCACAGGCCTTGTGGGAGGAGTGGCTGCTATTTATTTTTTTCTTACTGGCAGTTTTTTTCCCTCTTTCCTTTTTAGTCTCGTTTATTTGGTCTTACTCCAACTGCACACAGTTATCAGAGCCTCGTCTGAGCAAATAGAAGCAAGGGCCAGCAGTGTTTCATGGCCGTTTCCACGAAGAAACACAGAGCGGCTGGAAAAATCACAGAGCAGCTTCCCTTCTGCGAAAGTCAGCCTCACCAGTTGACTGCTTCAAAAGTATATCTTTCTAACCCACTTTCCTCCCTTTTCAACCTAATTACACCTTTGCTGATCTAAATTTACAGTAACAGAAACATTCCCCTGGGAGCTGCTCTCTAACAGGATGCCAGCTCTCTAAAAAAAGAGGTTTGTCCATATTGCCTAGAGGTCACTAAACTGGAGAGACACGTCTCAGCATGCCCAAAGACTGAAATAATCACTGAACTGTACTATCAGCAAAGTTTTACCCTTTTTCTTTTCCTCATCTTATGTCTCATGACGAGTCGTTGAGACATTCAACACAGTTTACCAGGAATCAAATCAAGAAAAAATCATGTGTCTGCAGCCAGTTTTTAAGCTTAAACATACTTACAAAACTTATCTTAAAAAGGGCTTTAGGAGCCCCTTCAATACTGCTCTGGACCTGCACAAATCCAATAAAACACAAAGCTTTGCGTAGTGAAAAAATATCTCTACTGATGAAATAATGTCTGAAAAATGTCAAATAATGTCAAATGATTTTCCACTATTTTAGACATATTAAATAGGTTCCTTTTGCTTTTGCTTTGTCTGCATTTCTTTACCAAAGCACTCGTTGCTGTGCCTTCCTGTATCTTGTTCTACCACACCATTAACCTCTCTTTAAGTGAGGAGCCTAAACTCAGCAACATTCCTGAGCTGTTCAAAATATCTCAATACATTTGTTTAACTTTTGAAGACAAAATATCCTCACTTGCTGTTTCACCTCCATTAGGAACAGCATGGAAAGCCATTTCGTTTTTGTCAGGGTCAATTCCTGACCCGCACTGAATAATTGAAGTGATCAGAGGGGGAAATATTCAGAGCAATGAGTCTACGGGGAATCAAAGATGCAGTCTCTCGTACCAATACATAAAATCCAAGTAGAAGATGCGGATAATGTGGAAACTAAAACAAGCAGTGGTAGCAGATTCTCTCTGCAAATTCATCAAATAATGAACGCATCTATGACACCCAGTCACTCCTATTGCTCGCCATCTATGGGTGCATGGACAACTGCTCTCTTCAGTGAAGCCCACGCTGAGCCACTGTAAAGGATATTATGAAAGACGGCCTCATTTCAGGGGCTGTGAGGTGGTTAGAACTACCACTTCAGAGTGAGAGGCAGCGGGGGGGACTTCATTGCGTCCTCACCCTTTCCCCAGGTACTTCCTCCTACTACATGCTTCTTTCTAAAATGATTAAAAGCAAAGAGTGGGGCTGTGCAAGTTTTTTGTCTAGTGTACGCTCCCACCCAGTCCAGATTATAACCTCGACCCTAATGAGCCCGATCTGGATTCATTGGTTATAAGAAATGGATGGTTGGACCTGTGCTTCTCAATCCAGAACGTTAAATATCATGTTGTAATCAGTCAAACATTTAACAACAAACTCTGACAGGATGTGAGAGAATATGTGAGCCCATACTTACACACACACACACACAACACCGAGCACATTTTTCCAGACATCATCATATTGTTTGGCATCTGTTTCACACCTCTGTATGTGAAATGCATAAGTAAAAGGCAGACATGGCAGCAGAGATGGAAATAACCAGGGAAGCAGATGCAAGACCAGTTTTGTGTTATATTTTCTGTATTTGCTTTAGGTTTGGTTATTAACTGTTTTTAAAGGAACCATGTTAAGCCACAACCATTTCCTTTGATCGAAATAATATAAAGAGACAGCACAGGAAATCCTTTTAATTCACTCTTTCAGTTTGTCCATTTTAGGACATAGACTGACCCGTCTCCTCCTCAGGATTTGCCCCTTTTGAGATCTGTCCAGCTAAACAATTCCCTCATCTGAAATGGGATCAGAAATTCTGAAAACTATTCCCTCTTTTTTTCCACACTCTTTTCATTAGCTGTTAACAGACGCATCAAACAGTGTCGCATAGGCAGCTGCTGGCTGTTCAGTAACATAATTCAGAGCTCCAGTTGAACTCAGAATAGAGCATCATCAGCTGATTTATTCTTTCAGTTAACTGTTAAGTGATTATTGCGTGTGTTAAATGTAAAAATATACATATCTGAAATTTAAAAATTGTCAGGTCACATTTTTCCTCTCCTTTTATTCTGTCTCCCAGCCTTTGTGGGTTTTTTGTTGGTTTTGCTTCCTGCGTTTGTTTGATTCACATCTGTGTCCTGTTAGCTTATTGCTCCACTCTGCCCCATTAGTTGATTAACTTCTCTGGACGTGCTCCTCTGTTCTGGGCCAGATTGTTTTTGTACTCCTTGCTGTCCAGTTTGACAGGAGTTTCTCTCTTCCCCTTTTTGTTTCGGGTTCCTTGATAGTTGCCTGTTTTTCAGACAGCATGCTGCTCTTGCCAATATTTAGGACTGACTTGACTTCAGAGTTCTGTCTTTGGCAGACCTTCCTGTCACATCCACTGCCTGGATGCCACTGCAATCAGGTGAATACATCCTCATCACTGGTTAAAAAAGACTTTGATTGACCTAATTATTTAAAAAAAATCTATTTTTGCAATAATGATTTTAGAAAGTATGTGCACTCACTTAAATGTGTCATGAATGTGTGAAAAAAAACATGAAGGCTGGGTTTGCGGTAACATTTCTCATTTTAAGGGGTGTTGAAATGATGTGGAATAGGTACATTCTAATATATAACATTTTCTAAAATGTCTTTAAATCAAACAAAAACATGAATGAATGTTAATGAGCTGTATGTATACTTTGAAGAAAAAGGTACTTTAATGCATTTTTGCAAAGCTAATGCAGACATAATGGTTTTTAAACAGTACCACAGACTGTTTTATAAGCAAATTTATATCACTGCTCATGATATAAATTGTAAAACGACATGCTCTAACAGAAACATCACATCCACATGCATCACAGCAAGGTTTATACTACAGCTTCCTCTAATGGACACAGCACATTTAACTACCAGGTACCAGACATATAATCACAGATGCATCCAGAAGCTGATCTAGAGCGGGGACGGACCCAGACATCTGCAAAGAACAAAGCATTACCGCGACACAAAGACACGCTTTTGGTCGGTCAAAGCGACAATTCGAGGATATGCATGAGAGACGGGACACGGAGAGCCATGGCAAGCTGACCGACCGACACGCATTACATAAAGCCTCTGACCTGTCCGTACCTGAGTGCAGGTTTATCCTGAATGCAGTCAGCACAGCAGGACCATCTTCAAACAGACACACAGACAGACATTTAAAAAAAAAAATAGACATAGCCTGTAGATTAGAAGGAAATAGTCAAGGTTAATAGGCACAGAGAGACTCTATGGTAAAATCTGCCTCAAGAGTCTCAAAGTCAGAATTTAGCTATTTTCCGGGAAACTGATACGGGGGAGTAAACTTATCAAAAGCCTGGCAGAGCATCAGATTAGGACGTGGCAGAGCACTGCTGATAACCTTTAATGGAAGTACTGTGTTGTGTAAACCTGATTCAGTATGAGGTAAATGTTTTTTTCCTGTCTACCGGGAGTCCAGCAGGCTGTGTGGGTGTCTTCTTGTCTCCAAAAAGCAGCGCTCGCGTAGCCCTCCCACGTGGCTAGCACACAGCTAGACTGTTCTCCTTACCCCATTCAAACAGCACGCCGCTGTATTTTCTTTTCGGCCTTGACCCGGACAAATTCAGCGCAACTTCACACAGAAGCAGGCTATGAAAACGGAAGCCTTTTCTCTTGGGAAGATAACAAAATCGTGTATAAAACTGTTCTACAACTTTCCTCTGAGCATGTGCTCGATTAATGCCAGATGGGCCGAGCAACAGAAGGCCTCCCGGACATGAATATAGATGCTGTCTGGAGTATATGAATTAATGATGAACCTCTAGTGTTAGCTAAGGCTGACATCAAACTTCTATGAAAAAGTCAGACACGTCAGAGGCCTTACAACTGAACGGGTATGAAGGAAACACTCCATTTTGAATGTCCTATCTGAAGACTGAAGATAGTCGGCGTGTCCCGATAGTTTCACAGGCTCAGCGTGCACCCTGTTGCAGTGAAGCCACAACATCCTGAGCTCAAACCCGGCTTCAAGGCTCCTCTGACTAGATGCTTCTATCTCTTCAACCACATTTCCTGTAAGGCGAAGCTTGCCATGCTCACGATTCGATAAACAACCAAAGTCAAATATTACTTTTGTTTTTTTTTAAAGTCTAAGAGGAGTTCAAAACTGGAAAAATCTTTTTTTATTTTTAAATATAGACCTACAGGTTTATGGTAAATGTCGGGATAATGGCTTCAAAGAGAATTATATGAATAAAGAAGGTTCCAATAAGAAGAACAGTGAGTGGTGTTTTAATGTTAATATCAGACTCATGATGTCAGCAGGAATACCGATTTCCTGAATAACAGGATATTGTTGAGTGAAAGGACAGGCTTCTTAACAATCTCCAACTAGTATAAAGGTTGTAGCAGCCCTGTATATGGAGGCGACATGTAACCCTGAGAAAACAAGTATGACTAACATACAATACGGTATTAGATGTTATGGATAGTCGGCAAAAGAAAAAAGCGGAGTTTGAGAGAGAGGGTTTCCATGAAATACTGAGGAAAATAGAAAAATATACAGAAAGGGAGGATTTATTTTTTGTGACCTGCCGTCTCAAGCATCCTGCTTCACTGAGACATTTACAATGGTACTGTACAACAAGTGGAGTTCCTCAGATGTCACATGAGGAACTTGCACACATAAAATAGTGGCTAAAAAGTATTCCTTATCTTTTATGTTTAATGGCAATGCGCTCAAAGCAAATAGGTCCTGACAGAGGAGCTGTCTGGCAGGTCTGATCCAAACTTAGACTAGGAAATTAATTAACAGCCAAAATGTGAAGTCTCAAACGTGTCCTGCCAGCCCATACATTTAGCTGCAGCTGTTTTCTCTCTCCCTGAAGAGAAAGTCCGGGTTTCCCTCTGCCTCTTATCTTGTCCTGTGCCTCCATCCAAAGAGGTAACGCAATTACGGAGCACATTTCCATAGCAACCATTTCGTTCTGTTTCACTTTTGTCGAGAGGGCGACTTCATCAGCTGTGGAGTGAGATCACCTTTAAAGGACACAAGCATCGATCACAACTAATGACATCTATTACATGAGTTATTTCCTTACCACACCTTAGTCCTGGAAGAAACCATCAATCAGCCACAGGAGCTTTTGAACACAGCCGAAAGAGTGACAATGATTCTGACCAACAAAAGCCCTTAAACTGACTTAGAAACAATCACAAAATTGTAGGTTACATCCACGTTTTTATCTGGTGTTTGCGTGATATTAAAGGCTTTGTCATGTGACTGCCTATAAATAAGTGTTTGGGCAGCTGGGAACAGGGTAATGCACTCCAAACACTCAGAGGTGAGGACAGAACCTCTTTGTTTTCTTTTCACATTTGCCTGACTGTCTTTCCTGATAAGAGCCTGAACAAAGGCTCTGCCCAACCGCAAGACGCTACGGCTCATCCAGGATGAAGAGGCACGTCTTTAATAGTGTTAGCACAATAAAGAGAATGGATATTTAAACAGGAAAGGGCGGGACGAGGTTTAATTATCATGAGGGCTGGAAAAGTCATTTTCCATAATGAACATTCAATTATGCGGTGCAGTGTTTGGTAGAGGCTCAATTTCTATGTACTCCCCATGTTCATGCCTGGGTTAAGGTTAGTCTTTCACTATATGCCTTTGTTTTCTGGACCAGAATGATCACATCAGGGGCATCACAAGATAGCTGCAGTAAACTGACAATTGAGGTTTGAAACGTTTTCACTCACTGAGAACAACAACACACAAACATGTCTTACTGCAGGGCGAAAGGCTTCCTCAGAATCGTCCTCTGAGCAAAATCTAATGGACAACAGAACTTGTTGTTTTCCCATCATTTTAAGCATGCTGGGCCCTGACAGGCAGAGGTCGGGAGATGATCAGTCAGTGGAAGCCACACACTTCCTGCATCTGACAGCACATAGCCTACATCCATTAGTGTTTCCAATGTTCCTGCTTGATAATCATTTTACAGTTAATAGAATTCTACGGTATTTTGCACACAAAGTTTCAAATGTCACTGAAAGTCTAAAAAGTTGACTACAAGACTTGGGAAAACTTGGAATCGTTCAGTCGGCTCTCTTAATGAGCCTCAGTTTACAGTTTGTTGACTCATGCATGTTTAATGAAATTGTGACGAACAGTATTTGCCTTCCATTTAACCACAGATAGGCCTCGTCTTAACAACACATACTGTGGCAAATATTGTGTGTTGGCTGTAAGCTGCTGTGTTGTGCCCTTGTGCTACTTTAACACTGTCATATTTGGAGACAACTATGAGGTATGGATTTTTACGGAAGTCCATTTAATTCAGTTATGCTCCATAATTTCTTTAAACAACCAAAGGGGTTCTGCTTGATACTACAACCAGACCTGAGAGTGGCTTACCAATCAGCAAAGAGTTAATGCAGCCTGACAATCTCAGAGGAGTCAATCCCATTAGACACGCACACTTAACCCAACAGTGTGCAGAGGAGGGCAAAACATGTCACTGTTGACACACATGCATATCATGTTCTTCTTGGTCTAATTCAATCATATATATCTTTTAAAAACTGGGTTAGGATAGTTTGCAGCACTGCCCTGAATAATTTAACGGTCATAGTACCTGACTGGTCAGAATTTCAGAAAAACACAGCTCCCTCTGGGGGAACCTGTGATCTCACCGGCTTAAATTTCCCCCACAAATATGCGGAAAAATATGTTTTGGCATGGCTGTCTCAGAATGGCGCAGATCACCAACCAGGCTGGAGGCAGAACAGATGCAACCAGATCCTAAGATGGGTGAGAGTGCCAGGAGTATTTTAGGTTGACGTGCTCTGGTACAAGCAGGTAAGAGGCTCCAGGAAGACCCCTATTACACACAGATTTAAAATAAGATTATCATGATGACCTAATCCCTACTTTCATCTTCGTCCTGGTGGCAGGAGGATAGAAACCACGTCATTAAACGTGTTACCGGAGCAGCTGGATATATAGCAGTCTCAAGAGGAAATATTTACGTCTGTCAGAAGAAAAACAAAAAGTCCACAAGCCCATTGTGTGAAAGCCAGTGTGTTTCTTTGTGTGATCACCTGCAGTTTGTGAGTCTGTGGCGCTCTGCAGCTCGATCAAAGTTTCTTCTTTGGTTTTTCCCGTTATTCGCCTCATAGCGGCTCTCGGTGTTATTATAGAGGCTTCACCTTCTCAGGAAAGAGGGAAAGGCTGTGAGGATGCCGCCGTCTCCGCTCCGAGAATCCACCATCCGAGCATCGATCGATCAGATTCTAAAATGAGCCATTCCGATCAAGGGATCAATGAATGATCTGCGGGTCATATTCTCAATATTAGCGGTTGTCAGTGAAACTACCCCGCCGGGGTGTCGAGGAGACTGGGCAGGCATAAAGGGGAGTGGCAAGCCTTTTTTCTTTTTTTTGGGTCCAATTTTTTAAGTCGGCAAACTTGTGTGAACGTGTTTGTGTCCGTGTGTGTTTGTGTGAACGTGGGTATGGGTTTAAAGCAGGCGTTTGGGAGAAGAAGAGGGGGGTCTGTTTTTATTTGTGCTGATGATGCAGTCACCTGTGAGGTTGTAGAAGTGGGAAACGAAAACAGTAGCAGCAAATAGCAGCATCCCCTTATTCAGCACGAGGACGTCATCTAGTGGCCATGCAGAGAAGCTTTTTAAGATGATATCACCCATTTTAGAATGAGGGGAAAAAAACAAAAAAATACATTCAGGGCCAAGGTTTCTAAAAATAACTGGGCTCCTCTCTACAAAATATAGATCTTGTTAAAGGTTTCATTCATGAAAAATTATGACTAAATGGTCCAACTAAAAGATGTGAGGAACCTGAATCTGACCACGTTTGTTTTTTGGCCAAAACTTAAAGAATCATTGATCCAGAGGAATCTGATTATATCTGGGAAACATTTTCCTTCATTAGCCTAGTATTATTGGAAAATGGTCACACATAATAAAACATATACATAATAATTGGAGATAGTTAAATAAGTATATGTGAGTATATAGATAAATATAAGTCGATATGTAAATAGTAAACAATCAAAAAAGACTTCAAGGTAATAAAACATTGAAAATGCATATCCTGTTGTTTTTTTTTAAGTTAGGGCTGCTCTGGCCTTATTATATTTCAATTTAAAAAATGTACTCCAAAATTTGTAGTTTTATTAACATGTGCAAAAAGACTTTTTTAAAGGTAAATATGCATTAGTGAAATCATGATTCTGTGACATTTCAGCAGACGTAAACAGAGCATAAATAGATTTATTTTTATACATTAGCCTGTGATTGACACATTTTATACACAACTAAAAAGATCCATTATGAGTACCAGCTTAATCTCTGAGCACCTTTGGGACTCCATATAGCAGCTCACAAATCACGCTGTACCAATTACAGTAGGCTGGTGCAGGTTAATGGGCTGCTTGGCCCTTGCCCTCCAAATTTTACACACCCTGCTCAGCAATTTAAACAAATAACAGCGATGCCAATAATTGGTGTAAACCATCTTAATCACAGCTGCTGCTTTTAATCCATACAGGCGATCTTTTTATGACTTAATGGAAGCCACAAATCCCAAATCCCCTTAATAATAAGCTGGTAACAAAAAATGTGAAAGCATGTAAAATCCTTCAGTACCTCTGTAGTCCCACTGTGAGAGCTAATTTTTTGGCTTAAATTTTAAGACAGTCATAATGGAAAAGAATTGAGTAATTAAATACATTTTAAGAAATGTCCTTAGTTTCCTGATTGTTATTGATGAAGTGCAAATGTAAAAGCTCCTATTATGCATAGAATACAACACCCCTGCAAGTCATAAAACTACCCTCAGGCATTACTGGTAAAACTAATTAATAATCAGTGGGAGTGCAATAATGTCTCGTAATCAAGGTGGGGTTTATCTTAATTACTTTATATACAGTTAGTTGGTTAATTTAGCAAGCTTGCTCAAGTGAGTGGGAAAAAAATAACTTAAAGGTTAATTATACATTAGGGGGAATTAATGGTATCAGTTTTGTATAGGTATAGATGATTTCTTAGTATAATTTACTATAATAGTTATGCTAGTTTTCATTCATCTGAATGTGTAGGTGTTTACTTTTTGTGGTTGTGTTTGGAGCAAGTTATGCACTGTAATTTGAGATGGTAAAGTGGCTGCATTTCAATGAGAGAGCCCCGATTTTACTCAAACTGCAGAAATTTGCCAGTGCCATATAGCCGCCAAAGGTGTCCCACCTGGACATGTGACCCTGGACAAGACATCCTCATACTACTGCTTTAAGTACTCATTGGTCTGCTTCTTCTAATCTGTGGACGCATTTGATGAGAAAATATATAGTGGACATGTTATCAGAAAATAAAGGAGCGATTGCTCATCCTCACTGTGGTGACCTCTTCACCTCTTCCAGGAGTTTCCAAGGTATGTGAGTGTAATACAACAACATGCTTTGTGCTTTGCGTGAGTCTTATAGCTGAAGTTTATTTGGCAAGGCGTGAGGCTTTCCTCACTTTTGCTGGTACAGCATCTACTCCCAGCTCATAGGAATGGATGAGGACAGAATGGGTGGAATAAGGGAGATCTGGGGTCTGTCCTCTAGGTGGGGGTGGAGTACAGCTAAACAGTCTCTGCTTTGTTGCAAGTGTGTGCCAAGGATCCTCCGAGCTTATCTATCATTTCAGGTTCACATGAGCTGAACCGTCAGCTTTAAATAAAACCACCAACCCAATTTCACAGCTAAGCTTTTTACCGTTTTTAAGCAGAAAAAACATAACAAATACTGTGACACGCAAGGACTACAGACTAAATGGCATATACATGGTATATACATGCATCCTATATATATATATACACATATATATAGGTCTGCTGGGCACTCGCAACCCGATTACATCACAGTGGTGGCTGTTGATGACACTTTCATTCGTTTCTAATAGACATTTCCACGTATCATTCTAATGGAAGACTGTGGAAATGTTGGGTTCCTGATGCCAAAAAAAAAGGGTTTGTTTTCGCAGGTTTTCTCATGCGTTGAGAGCCAAACAGTCAGCAGTCGGCTCTTTTGTTCCCTGAGCCGTATCCAGAGCGTGCGTTTGTGCGCGTGTACGTTTGTGTGTGTGTGTGTGTGAAAGAGAAGCAGAGAAAAAGACACCCCCCCCTCATCCACCCCCCACCCCCCCAGCGAACAGATCTGTGATACACCGACACACGTCCACAGCCCGGGCAGAGGCAGTCTTTAGGATACAGTCTGAGGAGGATACAGACCGGGATGCTGACAGACTCCTAATAGATGCTTAAAATGGCGAGAGCTCGTTCGACCCCAGTGAGCCCCTAAACCGTTGCTCCGTGGGTCGGAACATGTCGTAGCTGCAGCCGGATATTTTTTGTCTCATTCTTCCGAACAAACAAACAAACAAAAAAGCCCTGCTGTTTTTTGTATTTGTTTCTCCCCACGTTGTTCTCCCGTGAGCGCTGGAGTATTTTTTTTTTGTTTTTTTCCCCCCCCTGTGTTTAAATGGCATCCACAAGGCGCCGTCGCCTTGTTCCGTGCTTTCTGGGAATTCTCCTGCATGCTTTGATAGGTAAGTGGCGCTACCTTTTCCTACCAGGGCAGAGCCCGGCGGGGCAGGATGGGGTGGCCGGGTGCAGGATGACCGCTGTCCGTCAGTCCGGTGCTTTTTTCGGATCGCCGTTTATGGCTGAAAGCAGCTTTTTTTTAAAAAGCAATAAGCGTGCTCCACCGGCAGGGTAAACCTGAACTTGGCCCCCCATCTGCACCGTCCGTTTCTATTTCGGCTGCAAGTGCCAGTCTGAAGCCATGTGCAGTGCAGTTTTTGTGTGGCTTTCTGTAGAGTAGGCGAACTGGTACTTGCTCTATAACGTTTGTTTGCAAGGATTTCTGTTCATTCTGCAGAATTCTCAGGGTTGCAAACACGCGAGTTGAGATTGTGATGAGCTGTTTGATGTTCTGGCTGCATCACCATAACAGTATTGAGCCAGTTACGGAGTCAACACACCGTGTTTACGTCCAGATTCTTTGGTGTTGAATCTGGAAGCACCACTTAAATAACCAGCCTATGCATTTTGGAGCCATATTTTCCAATACATCTTAACAATTGCAACTTGCTTTTAAGAGTTGAGTTTAATTCCATATGTAGGACTTAAAACGTGGATGGATTTATTGACTGGTCAGTCATTAGAGCACACCACCCTGTGGCTGGGCGGAATGACAGTGGTTATTGCTCTGAGAATAGATTAAAAGACTGTGGTTATTGCCTGCTGGGGAGAATATTTGTAGAGATTAAATGTCAAGGCTGTCTCTCTCCTCCTTTTCAAATTTTGCTCTGCATCCCTTTGTTCGCCATGACAGTCACTTTCTCTCTCTTTGTGGGGGCCCCTTAATTCAAAGGCTGCAGAGAGTATTGAGTATTTGCAAAGCATACCACACAGGGACCCACAAAGGCCCCGCTGGAATCATAGAGGCTTGTGGTTCATAACATGTTTCGCTCAGAGGACTGGGAACAAAAACGTCAGAAACACACACTCGGCTCTGTGATGGATGCAGTTCCAATCTACCCATCCCATTGAAGAGATGAAGCTCTTTCATGTGCTCGTCTGCCTCAGAGTAGATTAGGTCCAGATAAAGACACTTTTTAAGGCATTTTAAGCAGACACGATTGGAGTAAAAGGAGCATTAAGATGAAGATCTGCATTCCATTTGCGATGGACCAAGATGCCAAGAGTGCGAAACCAAAGGAAAGAGATAACTAAGAGACTCTCTTGATGAGAAGTTTAGGTTTTTAAATTGTGCTTGGTTTGATGGAAGTGCACCAGTTATTATTGTAGCAACAACACAGAGTCAGCACAGTGAGTGATCTAATCCACGGCTCCACGTCGGGAAGAAAGAACAGCATCAATGTGAAGTCAAAGCGCATCTGAGGACCTTGACCTAACACACTCCTCTGCCATATAGCTTGTTTATAAGCCATTAGCTCCTTTATTATAATCCAACATTTATTTGGTTTATCACTAAAGTGACGGTACGTTAAGAGTGGCCTGTACAACAGCCTGAGAGTGAGTTAAAGACTGCAACAGCTGCCCTACTTTCTCCTCAACTGGAGAACCTTTTCAGTGTCCTCATCAGTAATATTTATTTTTTACAAAAGCAGCGTAATACTTTCAGTTGGTTGCAAATTAAGGATGAAGAGAATTTCGTTTCCAGAGCATTTGAGTATTTAACAATTTATCAAGGAGTGACCTATAGGAGGGAATGCATGTATTAATGAGGCTTTCCCTATGGGGAGAGAATAAATATTGATTTCCACTTCATATATATGAAAGACGTTGAGCTGTTCTGTGGCTGGTCATTTTATTAAATCAAACGGGGGGTTGTGTGTGGCTTGATATGTGAATTTGATCTGAAACAGGCAGGAGGATGCTTTTACAGGAATGTGGATTTGTTTTGTTCTTTTCTAAAATCTGTTCCGAGTTGATACACAAAACTCATGTTGACCACAGTTAACAAACCCACTATTAAAGGAAGTGCAGAGATCTTATAGTAGACTGTTAAGATACTATTAAGTGTATATAGATATTATAGGAAAGATCTTCTTAAGAGTGCAGAAGGTTATTCTTCCTTTCAACCGACTATAATATGATGCTGCCATCTTGAAATATGGAAAACCTGATTATTTGTTTGTCATATGTTGTCTTTATTATGGTTCATGGTGAACTCGGCACAGATGTGCACTTGGCAGGACTTTAAAAGGTTATCTATAAAGATGAAACTGCCCAAAATCTACACAGTTCCTTTAAAGTGATCACATGTAACCTGGTGTGACATTATGCCGTTAAGACATGCGATTGTTGAATTTTTCAAACCTAAAACACGAAAGCAAGGTCAGTCATTTACAGCCAAAAGTTGTGCAGTCATAAGTCATATTTAACGTCACAAATGAAACGTCTCAAATGTTTTTATTGTTACATTTTTGCCGCTTCCTCAGACGCTGAGAAGTTGAAGGATTTTTCAGACAGTGAGGTTTTCCCAGAAAACTAGTGGGATCCTAAAACAAAACCGAAATAGCTGTAACCCAATATATTATCCTTCTAAGAAAGTGCCTAGTGTTATTTACCCCAAGAGATTATGGTACAGGCCATCATGGGGGTATGATGTAAAGCAGTTGTGTCAGGAGCCCATAATAATCTTGCCTTGCAGCCTTTAAGGAGCGTGTGGAGTTTGCTGTGCTCAGTCTTCTGAGCACATCTGTCTGTCTTGGATGATAGGTCCGTCCTGCCCGTTCGGCCGCGGCCGTAAACCGCCGTGCCGGCGCTTCTCACTTATCTGTCAGCTGTTCGTAAGCGCCAGCTATAGCCACACTTATCCGAACCTTTGTCACAGTTACCTGGTAATCCTACCTTATTGCGTCTCCATGAAGAGAGCAGTCGGATGAAAATCCACACCCATGTAGATTAATGTGCTGGCTTGTATTTATGGTCTGATCTCCTGCCACTGTTTCCCACAGCTGTGCTCTAAATATCCATCCACTCACTCCTGGAGGCATTCGCAGATGGCTGTGACCTTTTTATTCTCTTCTTATCTCCCGCGTCTCATTGGATCTGTCTTATAATTAGCTGTTGTGCTCAAAACTATTTTCTCTGACATTTCTCACACTGCTGTTTGTGACCTTCTACCCACCCAGAGCTCAGGATTGCATTAGCTGGTCACTTGGGCAACATGCTTTATTCATCAGGAAGGCGAGAAAAAACCCAAAGTCATGTTGTCCTGGCTAATGGAAGAAACTCTGATTACTCGAACACAAAATCATTAAAGTTTGTTTAATCCACCTCTAATCAATGACACCCCAACACATTAAATACGGAGTTGGTATTATCCGGCCAGCAGCAAGATGCGATAACATTGACTAATGTCATTTGTCAGCTTTGAAAGCTACAGATGAAAATCCCATCGCACTGCATCTAACATAGTGGAAGGCTGCACAAAACTCTCACCGTGTTTTAAATTCAGATTTTCCTACAGAAGAAATTTGTAGTTTGTCATTTTCTTTGCGAATTATTCATGTTTGGGTGACACACACAAAAAAAAGATCTACAAGTGTGACTAAGGGGATGAGTTCTGTTGGTTATCGGCTGCCTGTATGAAAACTTTCCATCTCTGTTGGATCAAAGGAGATGGAGCTTTGTGGACCGGGTGGTTTTGGAGAGCAGGAGCTGGGCAGGCCTACGGAGCGCTGCCTGCCAGCTAAGGGTTAAATATTTCTCTGACACCACCCCCTTGTTTTTCACAACTGGTAGCACTGATGTCTCTCTGGTCTCATGGCCATTTCACTTACCGTGCTCGCGGGGGGAAAACGGGGAGGTTGGGGGGGTGGGCCATGTAAGAAAAAGGACACAGGAGCAAGGGTAACGGAAGAGGAAATGTTTCTTTGTATTATTTTCCATATGTGACCTCAATGAGGGGAGAGTGTCAATGTAAACCTTCCTAGGGACTGTTTCTCTTGTGGAATTTGTGGGATGAAGCCGGAGGTTCTCTGTTTTGACCCCTTGTGCTTTGCCCCCCCTCCGCTGCCCTCTCCTAGCCCGTCCCACCAGATTCCAGGGCCTGGGGCAGAGACTGGTAGTGCTTAGTCCATCAGCAGCTGAAACACGATACCAAGCGAGCGGGCTGAGCTCCTCTTTTATTGTACCGAGTTGGGTCGGTCAGCCTGTTTACATCCTTCACTTGTTGTTGTCCCACACGCCCACATCTTTCCCCCCCTCAGAAACCACAAATCCAGAATATCAGATCTTCCCGCTTTTTAATAGACTGAAAACAGACCCACATACTGATGTATCCTACAGAGAGCTTTCAGCGAGAATAACATTTCGTGTAGATGGTGGAAGAAAAGAGCTTATGGATGGTGTCAGAGCCGCAGCCACTTGTTAGAGTCCAGGCATGCAGCATGCTCCAGTACAGGAGCACACATGTTCTGGATGCATTAGGTCTAAAAAACCATGTAGTCTCTTGTGACTGTAGCCTAGAGGTAGCTCAGTCAAAGCTTTTTTATTCATGAGGTGCGAGTCAGCCGCTGCCAGGGTATGCAGAGTATTCTTTTTGTTTGTTTTTTGTGAAAATAATAATCCCTCCCACTATAGGTACATTTATGACCTTGGATTATCTGAATAGTATGTATTGAAGTAGGCGCTGAAAATAAATGAGAGCGAGAAGACAGCTTTAGCAACCTGAAAGAAAATAGAAAAAAGGAAAGATAAATGTTAAAGATTAAAGTGGTATTTCTGAATGGCTTCCTTTTAACCCACACAGTCTCCTCTTATATTTATACAGAGAATCTGAGGACAATAAACTGCACACACTGCCTGTTGTAGCTTCTTTGCAGTGGTCTCCAGGTGACTTTAGAGTTTCAATTGTTCCATTTAAACATTTATAGGTTTTACCCCTAAAACTATATCTGTAACTTATTTCTGTTGCCTTTGCTGAAGCTTCATGCTATATTAGCATGAGTCCTGTGAAGACCCAATCCTGTAAACTCTAAATGAAAGGCTGTGACTATAAATTCTGAAGGAAAACTGAAAAACTGCTGTCTTTGTGCCTAAAATCAATGCTCACTGCCTCTGTATTGCCAACAGTGACAAAGCGGTGCTTTTAAACATGGTGAGGTGTTTCAGGGGATGGGTAATATGGTGCAATGTGTACAAGTAGCTGAAGATAGATTTATGTACCCTTTCATATCATTATCCAGCTTCTCTGGAAGACTCTGGCTGCAGATGTTATACATTTTGTTTATATATCAACCCCAAATATGAGGTGCCAGAGTGCGGTTACCTTTCACAGGAGGGGTTTGCATCATTCTTTGCAACTCAATATTTGGGTATCTAGCTTCATTCGTGTAAAACTGGATGTCTGACATCTTTGCTCGTGTGTCTTCAGGTGTGATGTGCGAAGCGGAGCTCTCTTTCACGCTGGAGCCCAGTGACATCATCGCTGTGCAGGAGCAGCCGCTCATGCTGCATTGCCAAGTGCACGGCATCCCGCCCATCGCCACACACTGGAGGCATAACGGCCTGCTCTTAACTCAGGACCAGCATCACACCACCTTCATCAACGGCTCCCTACTGATCGGCCACTTCCAGAAGACCAAGTCCGACGGCTCCTCTGACGAGGGCGACTACGAGTGCATGGCCCAGAACTCGTTTGGGAGGGTGGTGAGTCGAAAGGCTCGCATTCAGGCTGCCAGTAAGTGTCTCTCTTTTACTATTTTGAAGGCTGTACTTGAATTTCTGTGCGGAAAGTGATTAAAGAAAGCTTAAAGCTTTCATATTCTCCTGGTTAGTGAAATTAAAGTAGTCATAACATGGGTGGAATGACCTGATTAAACTTAATCTACGATGGCTATATAAATGCAAATAGATGTACTCTTAGCTGTTTGGAGCTTAACACTTGTTGTGGAAGTGGTGAAAAAATGAAGAACCAACAACATTTTCTTGTTGCTGGAGATCACTCTTCTTAAAACTGCAGGACTCGTATCCACATTATCTAGAGAATAGCACTTTAAGTACATCTAATGTTTTATTAATCACGCTAACATGTTCTGACTTAAGTTTGATAAAGCTGTGATTTGTTACCTTTACAAATGCAAACACTGTAATTAAAGCATCCCCTTAAGTAACAACATTGTGGTCCAATCCCTGTCAACAGAGTGCTGCTGTGAATGTAAACACACTTATTACATCTCTGGCTGTTCAGTCGTTTAAATATTCTAATATAATTCTTTGAGTTTAATGAACTTTCTCGTCTCCAGCGCTGCTCAGAATTTCAAGCTTTTGAATATAGCATTAACAAGCACTCACACTGAGAGTCTCCCAGCAGCTTTGTGAGAGTGCAATAAGCTGGAGGCATCTTAGCAACCTATTCGCTAGTAGAAGCATCAAGATGCGTTTTCTCTTGCTTGACTACCGGACCCTTTATAGGCAGAAATTCTGGTTCGTCATTAAGTTCCCAGAATTGTTGCCATGGCTCATCTTTGCTGTGTTTCTATCACATCACAGTAAGACAATCTGGCGCTCCATCTTCCTCACTTGTCTTTTGTCTCATGGCATGCATTTCTGGTCTTGCTTGAAATCAAAGACACTGGGGATGTGCACTCCCCTGGCGGCTTTGGTGATAATGTTCTGTTCCACTCTGTGCCAAGTTAAGACTATATTCTGGAAGACAAAAATGGACAATGGCTCACAGAAGCCTGTTGATTCGTGGGCTATGTGTAGACGGGATACTGCTGTGCTGTTGTGACCAATACAGCTTTTCCACTCAGTGGGGTATGGAGGTTAGCACGGACGTCTCACTAACGGAAGGGAAAAGTCACTTCAGCTCAGCGGCTGCCCCTGTCAAGCACATGCAAGCTTTCAATTCCTCTCTAAAGAGTCTTTCTTTTCAAAGGTTATCTTGAATCTCCCTTTGTCACACTTTTCTTTTCTTTATTCTTCATCAGAGAAACCTCAGCTGTTTTGTGTCTGTAGCTGTTAATTGTATAAAATTTATTTTGTATACTAAACTAAATCTTTCTAAATGAAGCTAAATGGAATCACTTTAGCAGATACTAGGAATACAATCCAATGATTAGTTATACTTCAGAAAGTTACAGTATGTAGTTTTTAGCTTCATTACCTGGTCGCAATGTTTATTTTCCCTTTTGAACTTGAAATATGAGATGGAAATTTATGAATCAGATAACCTATTTAAATGCCACATGCAGTAACCTGTGCACGGAAAGGGCACTCAGAGGGACACGAATGCATTATTGTCACAAATGCACATTTAAACAGAAGAAGGCCTGGTGTTGGAAGTGTTGAATACACTGATCTGACACTAGTGTCCTCAGCCAATAATAACAGAAAAACCTCCAATTTTTCAATTAGTTGTGAAGATGATATTCACATCTATTTCAAGGTGTTTCAGTTCAATGCCAATTCATGCCTCAGCGTTTAGTTCGAATTCTTACGGTAGACATTTCACTGAATTAATAAAGATTTAAAGAATGAACTGTGAATAAAACCAACCTGGCTCAAGTTCACTCATATTCATGTTTTGATCCTCTTGTTCTGACTGTATTTCTACCTCCAGCAGACCTTATCTTGCTTTACCCTAAACTCATGGTTATTAGGATTACCAGAGGATTAGCTCAAGTCAAATGCTGACCTTTGACCTTATTTGGTATTGAATAGTGACCGATGAGTGATGGCTCTGTTATATCGGTACTCCCTGATAGAGTCCAGACAACAAGTCATTACTGATAACAATCAACACCCACCAATTCTCTTTAACAAGATTTAATTAGCTACAGTGATTTTTTTACTTGACTGGGGATTTGACAGTCTTTTCTTTTCAATGACAAAGAACTAGCAAAGTTGGGCCAGATTTTTTATGCATTTTAGGCACTTTTAGATGATTTTTTGGTCTCTGTGGTGTGTCACAGAGAATATCTGCACATAACAGGACAGAATTTTTATTCAATAGAATTTGAATCATCCCTCAGTGCTCAGTTTGCGTCTCTCCTCGACTTCAGAATTACTGCAGGCGCCTGTTCCGTTCACAAATGTTCCTCTTCTGAAAATGCATTGGATTTGTAGGCCTATTATGCTTCCAATCTTTAGTACAATGCCCATCTAAACTGGTGGTCAGGCTTTTTTTTCTCCGCTCACAAATGTCATCTCTTTGACAAGTAGAAATGAAAACAGTTTAATTAGGAAAAGAACAGTACTGCTGTTGGATGATTATTACGGTATCAATTTCCTGTCATGGGTTTAAATTATTGTGGATAAAACCTTTTTATTAGGCAATCTGCTCCGAAATGAGTAAATAACTCTCTCTTACAAATGTTCCTGACTGAGTGTTTGTTTTGTTTTTCTTCTCCAAGTGTTTGTTAATGTTGTTGTGTTCTTTGTGTTTTTGAGATCATTTGCTGTGTTATAGTTCTTCTTACAACAGAACTCTGACTTGTACCACAGTGATACAATGGGTGGTGTAATTACTGAAGTCTCTTTATAGCCCCCCCAGTGGATAAAGCCTCCATCTTACCCTTCACACGACCACCGTCTATAAATTTCCTTTTTTTTTTATTTCCTTGACAAGCATTTGTGCGAGCTCACAGCGGGGGTCTGGTGTTGGACCGACATCCCGCTGCCCGTCTAAATCGGCAGTTCAGTCCCAGAAAGTCTTTCTTTCCTCACAAATGTAATTTTTTGATGGTCAGCTTATCACTCCTTTTCGCATCTCCCCCTCTTTCCTCAGTTTCACAAGGACCTCCTCATTAGCTTGGGTTCAGGAAGCTTTTCATCATTTGGATGAATGACAAGCCTGGTACAGTGGACCCGTGCAAGGCCCCTCCCCCACAGTATTCTGCATCACCAGGCAACCCTCCACAAAAGACCCCTGTTACAAAATAGCTTTTAAGATCAACTGAAACTAATAGCTTTTTTCACTTTGTGAGAAATTAATTGGACGGAGTTGAACCTCTGTCACAAAATATTTTTCTGCTTATTATATGGTTAGAGAGAGACCACAGTTGACCTCATGGACCACTTTACAGCCAAATATATTCGATTTTTACGAGTTAAAGCATAAACGGAAAAAAATATAACATATAGCCTTTCTATATATTTTGTTCTTTTTATAGATTTTCTTCATAAGATCCCCCCTGTTTAGGTCTGGTGAATTGTTTTGCTGTTATAACAGTAGCCTCCTGAATGAGACTGTAATGAAAAGAAGAACCCGGGGGGGGCTGGTGAGGCCTAGAAGATGGAGGATGCCTGTAAAAACGCCTGTTTATACCCATGCCTCGCATTTGTGTGAATTTAATCCTCTCAAGGATATAAATGTAAAAAAAAAGAAAAAAAGTGGGACGTCAAGCCTGATGCGACTTTTAAAAGCTGGGTGGACAGTTTGCCACGAGCGGCTCCTCAGGCTCAGACAGCAGTTAGGAAGAGTGATTTATGTGGAGCCCATGCTAGTTTACATGAGAGTGCTTGTTTGTGGTGTGCATGTGCCTGTGTTCAGACAGTGGCTCTCCATCACACTCTGACCCTCCAGTACCCTCCCCTTTCACAGCCTCCCGCCCGGGTGAACGCTGGAGCTCCAGCCCAGCATCTCCTCCCAGCTCCCTTTGTCTGCCAGCCAAACCCCACCCTGGATCTGCCTCCCCTCCATTCCTGCCCTCGCTTCCTTTTCGGCGCGACGCAAATCATCGCTCTTGTCATATTGATTAGCCAAATATAGTTTTGACATTTGAACGTAGATGCTGTTTGCTTTTTCTCCTCATTCGCGAGGAATTGAGTATTTGTGCATGCATGTTTGAGACGGGAACATTTGCGTTCACAATGTTGTTTGAGGATGAGTTATTCTATCTTGCTATTTCAAACCTCAAAAGTAGCACTTCTCATGCTCACGTCCCTCATCAACTGATAGCTATTCCTGACTTGAAAACAGGATAGAGTTGGAGTGCATATGGACACGGCTAATGATTGCCTCGTTCCCTATGTTTGGCAGGTATGTGGGCTGATGTTAACCCAGATTGTTGCATCCTTCCATGTGCCCAGTGCCCCTCTGCCAGTGACTGCCAGTGTGTCAGAAGGATTGAAGAAAAATGGCTTTATTCAGCTTTTTCCTTTTGTGTGCCACTGAGGCTATGAAGCTATGAGATCTCTGACCTCTGCAGTGTAATTACATCTGAAACCGGTTATTACTGTACTCCCTCAGTCCTTCAGTTGGATCTCATTACCTGACACACTGCATTTGACTTGAAAAGACTTTAGAGCTGTCTTTCAGATTATGTTCAATCACGTCGATTTCCCGGCAAATGAAACAGTATACATTTGACAATATTTTCGTCACTCAATGTCCTCCCTGTTTACAGAAATTATATTGGTCCTCCAAGGGTTGTACTAATATCAGTGATGTGAATAAAGAGCATAGACGAAAACCCTTAATGACAGTTTTGGAGATTTTAATTACCAAATGCTTAGAGTGATCCAATTCTCTTGTGTGTCGGGGCCACAGCGAATCTCCATTATTCTTCATGATAACACATCATTGACCTCGGAGCTCTGCAAAATCACCAAGGGAAGCCACCCAGCTGTCTGAATGTCTTGCTTTGCTGTATGTCTTCATTTTGTTAGGAGAGGGTTTGATACAGAAAGATTTTAAAGCTTATTACAATTTTAGTCACTTCACTTTGCTAATTGCTAATCAAATAGCAATTATGCTTTTGAAAAAATAATAAATTTTCACAGTGGGAAACAAAAGCATCCATTTTAAATGGCTTTGCAGAGTTGCATTAATTGTATTTATTATGTTTCCTGTGTAATGAGCAGCAAATGTGACAAAACCGAGAGCACATTCGGTTTTGTGTGTGCCTAGTTTCTAGGCTGTGCTAACAAAGCCTCAGCAACACATACAGCACAAAAATGCATGGAAGGCTATAACTATCCTGTGTTACCTGCTTCAAAGAGTCAGAGTCAGAGCTACTGTGTGGAGCAGAACGGGCACCCTGAAGCTCTAAAAATATCCACCCGTATAAACAGCATCTCCCGGCAAGTGGAGCTCCTGAAGAAGGAAGACTGATGAGTTGGGATCTGATAAGTAATGGAGATATTGAACTATTCAGATAGACATTAATGGTATTCATCAAGGAGGGTGTAATCATGAGATGTTATCATTTGCAAATTAATAAAGCCCGTGCCAAAACGGAGCTTTGTACACAAACGGGAACTTTAACATGCAAAAGCCTTCACCTATGGAGATTATATGTAGCAAAAGTACACATTTGCAAACTTTGACCTTGCTCTCCCGCTGGTCTAAATTTTGAGCAGCTGCTCTCACCAGCTGTGTACACTGCAGCTGATCATCCATACCATGCACATTGAGATAATCTCTTTTTACTCAATTATCATGCAAAGCAGTGTTAAATTCTTGAATGGACAAGAATCATATAGTAAAGTCAAAGTCGGGCAAAAATAGTTTTTTCACCGTCTGGATTTTAACAACGCTATGTTATACAAGTCATTATGCCGAGCGTCAATAGCCTTTTGTGAAAACAAAGATCCACCGAGATCTTAGTTGACATTCAAGTTCAGCATTGGGTTTGCACACAGCGTCTGTGTCCTCAATTCTGTGTGCATGTTTGACTGTCTGTGGCAGTCTTTAGACCACCCTTGCTATTCTCAAACAAACAAATGAATAGGGGGCCTAAAATTCCTTCTGCCTGCTTTTAAGGTTCATGGGAGGAATTCCTGAGTAATAGAGGTGAAAGGTGAAAAGAGAAAGAGCAGAGTCCAGGGCAAAGGTTGGACTGGCAGACTGGGGTCCAAATGCGGTGTCCTACTTCATGCCCGCTTCAGTAGTGTTTACGTTGTGTTACTGCAAAGTTCAGGTTCAGTTTTGGAAATACGAAATCAATATTATCAATGGTCAATTTTCCCCAAGAATGGAAACGCAAGAATGTGTGGGTCTGTTTTAAGTATGTATGCTGGTGTTCCTATGATTTCATGCTCAGCATTGGGCTTGGATTGCTCTCCCTTCTGCCCCGTCACCGTGCTTCACTACACTTAACAGAGGCTTTATGGCCAGATTGTGCTGTTAAAATTCTTTACAGGGTCTGCACCGTTCACCAATAAAAGCACCAAAAAACTCCCTCATCCTGTCCTCTCATCGGCACGAGTTTTGTTTGCGTGTGTGAAAACATGGAATAAGCACAAAGAGCAGAAGCCAGTATTTAGATGATATTATCCCCGTCTCAGTTTTTCACACGCTTATACGCACACACATGGGGCCCCTCAAGACAGTTTTACACTTTGTTTAAGCGGGGATCAGGAAATCTTCCTGCCAATAAGCAGAGGAGGCTGAGACAAAGGCTTGTCAGTGATGGGCAGGTGGTTGCTTTCCTTTGGGCCTCAGCGACTTCTCCCTAACTAGTTTGCATGTGTGTGTGTGTGTGTGTGTGTTTTGGGGGTACCTCGCGGCACAGAGCGGCACTTATTGTGCAGCGCGGAGAAATGGAGTGGCTGGGAACGAGCAGAGGCCGGGGAGATATTCATCGTCTGGTGGCTGTGTTTTGTGGCCGTGGCATGAGTATTTGTTGTCCTAGCCGACCCGGCTAGCTCAGGCCGAGGCCCCTTTTGTCACCGTTGACTCCGGGTGGGTGTGTTTCCCCTTGCACCCTCCTCCCAGCCTCTTTCTTCTCCCCCTGTCGCAGGACTGACTTAGAAATAGAAGGGTCAGAGGTCGCGGGGGGCTGGACCATGCAGAAGGGGGGGGGCTATCTGGGAAACTGTGACCTTTTTGTGTGCACCAGTGCAGAATACCCCTCCCTCCTCTATTCTCCACCCATTATGTTTCCCCCCTCCTCCAATGCTGCACCTCCTGCTCATTCCCCAGTGGGGACCCATCCCCCTATCTGATGGCCCCAGGGCAGTGACAGTGACCTTGGCTTTGGCAGGGAAATAAAATGGCCCAAACCTGTCACCGCATCACATCTCTAACCCTGCCCTTTCCCACACAAGCAACGCAGCGTCCTGCACGAACAAGAGCAACATAAGCACAATCCTTCACCAAGAAAGGACGCATATTTGCCTCTGTCATGGGTTTTCTGGTGTGCCACAAAGGCATGGTAGTAGGTTTATAATTCTTTAGGTTTTCAGTTTCTCGTCCCATGACTTGTCTTTGGGAAATGTGAAAATTAACCTTTTTCTCTGACAGTTTATCTCCACTAAAGCAATTATTTGACCCACATTTACAGGGATTAGCGAATGCCCCTGCACTCTTAGAAGTTATGTACCTGTGAATCGTTGCCAAATATGCAGATGATGTTCTAAAAAAAAAACACACAGCTCTGAGAGAGATCAACCAGGTTCATGTTTGCTATTAAAATGAGATTTCAAAAAAAGAAATGAACTGTTGTGAAATGTTTAATTTTACTTACCCGTGTAGGTTTTTTGTTGTTTTGTAACTGGAAAAAATTTAGTTAAAACCAGTTGAATAGTGTGAGAAGTATATTAAGGTGGAAACTGCTGCTTTTGTGTTTTATAAAGATTGTTAGTATTTTTATAGCCTGAATGTAAAATGAGGACATTCCAATCAATGTGAAGTCACTAAATCCACAGTTTTTAGATTTTTTTTCTTCATGGTTATCAAAGAGC